GCATCATTCAGTGGTAAAAGCTTTGCTCAAACCCCTGTTGTACACATTCAGATATACCTGATAACAGCCCGTAGAAGACTACACCAAAATGTATTTTTGACTTATTGCACGCTAATTTGATCAAAATAATTTCAGTTTTTTTTCTTCATATGTTGTTGAGGGCCAAAGAAAGACTTCAGACTAAAAAAAATCCAATATTTTTCCTATTTTTCTTGGATCAGGCTTTAAAGGGTTAAGAATAGACTACACGAAAAACAATCTTGACTTATCGCATAGTAACAAATTATTAATATTAAAAATGTATTTCTGTTTTTTCTTTTTACATATTTTGTTAAAAGGCCAAATAAAGACTTCAAACCAAAAAAAAAAAGTAATTTTCTGTTTTGTTTTATTCTTGGATCAGGCTTTAAAGGGTTAAAAATACTATTGGGAAACGTTAACATATTTTTTCAGTGTGGCTGTAAGTTTCCTCCCAATTGTTCCAGTAACTAAGCTTCAAACTTTGCCTTATTCTGAGGATTTGTGGGTATTTAAAGGGTTAACACATGCACACACACACACACACACACACACACACACACAAACACACACACACTGGTCTGGGGTTTGAGCTCTTACCGCGATCACCAGTCCGATGGTCTCCGAGAGAGTCGCGCAAAAGATGAGGGACGCGCAGAAAACCCCGAAACACCTCTGCATCTGAGAGCCAGATCACAGAGCTCCAGGTTAACCCAGAAAACCCTGAACTTTTGGAACCCCCGTGTTCCTGCTCTGTTGCCGTCATAACTTCTACCATCATCATTAGTATTAATATCATTGCCATTTTTCATCTAGTCTACGTGTTGCTGTGTTGGCTGCCTCTCTCTCTCTCTCTCTCTGTCCTTCTCTCTCTCTCTCTCTTTCTTGCCCTCTCCACCCTGAGCCATGGTTCTGCTCCAGGTTTCTGCCTGTTAAAAGGAAGTTTTTCCTTGCCTGTGTCGCCTAGTGCTTGCCCATGGTGGGAATTGTTGGGTTTCTGTAATTATCTTCAGAGTAGGGTCTGACCTGCTCTGTTTGGAAAGCTGTGAGACAACTGTTGTTGTGATGTGGCGCTATATAAATCAAATTGAATTGAATTGAATTTAACGTTTCCCCCCCTAATTTGGAATAAAGTTCTCCAAAAAGGAGCAGTAGTTACCTTTGATTCCGGCCGTCTGCAGCTCTCAGAAGTGATGAGACGTGATGTGATGTGATGCTTTTCTGATCTGGATGAGAGGAGGACTCCATCCACCTTTTATTGCCCGCCTGGTGCCATAATCAACTCCCCCCTTCCTCCTCTTCTTCCTCCTCCTCTTCTTCCTCCTCCTCCCCTCCGTCAGGATTGGGCAGGTCACGAACAGAAGGCATAATAAAACTCAATGGGATCACATAATGGCACCCTCACATTTCTCCTTGTCGCCTCCAGAGAACTGGGATTGGATTTAAAAGAGAAAAAACACATGTGCGTTATCATTTTTTTTGTGTGTTTTTTTTCTTTTTTTTTTCCCCTCTTGATCCGATAAGTGACTGTAAGCAGCTTCTTACCGGCTGTGAGGGAGCAGGAGCTCCATAAAAAACATAAAACATGTTCCTATCGATGACCCGGATCGATCTTTTTTGTGGTTTAGTCTCCTAGGAAAAAACAGGAAAATGCCCTTATTATAGGAAAAGGGCTCAGCCTAAATTTAGCAGAAATCAACTTAATTATTAAGTTCATGTTACTTAGAACTGTGATTTATTTTGGCCAAAAAGCTTCTTTACCTTATTTAAAACATTATGTTGGATCAACTTAAATACTTGCATCTATGTTGAGTATTATTAAGTTCATTTTACTTAGAAATGCGTTTTATTGTGGCTTAAAAGGTAATTTACCATACTCAAAACATTATGTTGGATCAATGTAATTCTGCTATCTGTTGGTTTAACTCCTTTTACATAATTTAATGGTAAAAACTTTGCTCAAAATCCTATTGTACACAATCAGATAAACCTGATAACAGGGGGCAGAAGACTACAAAAAAATAATCTTGACTTATCGCATAGTAATAAATGATTAATATTAAAAATGTATTTCTGTTGTTTCTTTTTACATATTTTGTTAAAACGCCAAATAAGGAATTAAAACAAACTGTTCACACTGTTTTGTTTTATTCTTGGATCAGGCTTTAAAGGGTTAAAAATACAAGTGGAAAAGGTTAACATATTTTATTTTGTTGACTCAATGTATTACTTTTTAGAGTAAGTTTCCTCCTTTTTTCCAGTAACTGATATTCAAACGTTGACTTATTCTAAGGATTTTTAGGTCAATCTGTGTAGAGGTTTTAGACCAAATCAAAAACAAGGGAGATTTTGATTTGCTTGCCTTGTTTTATTGATCATTTATCGGTTGTAGCCTCATTTGAGAGCTGCGTAATGCAACCTGTGGACCCTCTGATTCCCTATA